AGTGTTTCACATTTTAATTCTATCTTCTTTTGCGACACATTTGATACGACACTTTTTGTCGACGACCACGCGAAACATTTTCTCATTTGGTTGGGCAAGAACAAGATCAGAAAGATTATTCTTCACAGTATGACTTAGAATGACGTTGGCAGGATATTTTTAACAGTCGAGCATTTCTCCGTTAAACACCTTTGACATTAACACCTACACAGTAATCGGGAATTCAAAAGACAGCTTGATAGCATTTTCTTTACTGCTTGCTTAAATCTTCATGCACTGAGTATGTAGCAATTGAATACAGTAACTATGTGATACTAAAAGGTCTACATGGATATTTTGCGTGTTTGCCATGTTTCACTAACATACAGAAATTATAAGAAGAGAATAATGGCTGTTCATGTCATCACTTTTAATACTGAGTCTTCTTCACAATTTACTCCTAGTATCTTTTTCGAGTGCATTAATCTCTAAACTTCCGGTTAGTTCTGATCGTTTTCTATCTGTAAAATAAGCATAGTGATTTTTTGGAAGTTAAGGAGTTCGTCAGTTTTTTAGAAATCTACTCCTGTCTATGCGTTTTTACGATGGACAAGCGATTGCATTATATACGAACATTTTTCTTATTATTTTGTGTTAGAAAATAGTCATGCTACACTAATTGTATAAAATTGAGATCTTCAGAAAGAAAAATTCTCAGCTTGAATATCAATAAATCACTGTTCGTTTGAAGTTACTACTTTTTGTGCAATGAAATTTCTTTTGAATATTTTGAAAGATTCTAGCTTTTCCAATCAATTTTTCGGAAGAAGAGAGTGTCATCATATGTGGTTAAGAAAATACTTGATATTTGTTGCCGGCGTGGGCTACCACGTCAATAGTAACTATCAAAAAGTGAAGACTTTCACGTAGTGAGAATCATTCAAATTCCATAGATAAGACTTCAGAAACTTTTTCTGAAACATTTAGACCTACTGTAGCTGCCTATTTGCGCAGTAACAAAAATTGTCCCAGCTTCATTATGGGTATTGACGAATTTCTCGCGTGTTTTTTTGGCACTATTTATCGTTGTTGTAACTTACGGTCAATCGAAATACAGTATTAAGCACTACACTGTTTGTGATACCGTCATGCAATTTTCTGTTTCAAAGAATATTGGAGAAAATCTAATGTTTTGCTAGAATATAACTGGATTATTCCATACGAAATTTCAAGCTTAAATGTTGAGCCACTCAGGGACGAAAACATCTGTATAATTATAAGTTCGACGAGATTTAAGTTGGTTTCTCACAATGTTCGGATTGTATTCCTCTACATTCATGTATGCTTGGAAGTTCTAAAGCCCCCGACACATTAGAAGACCCGGAGTCTTCTATTCTGTCTTATCGTTCACAAGTTAAAAGGGGGGTCTTCTATTATGTCCCTAAAAAAGTCATATTTTTAGGCAGTTTCGCCAAGAAATCTTGCTTTCACTTGATTTTTGTCCTAGATATCGTTCAGAAATGAGTTTGTTTTACTCATTTCTCTTGTGCAAGATACAAAAAAGGAACATATATTATCTCGTGAGAAAGGGGAGGCCAAGGTACATAAGAAGTACTCTTAGGAGAATACAGTCATTGTATCCCAACATTTTGGTACGATATCCTGTTAGCGTTCTTTTTTTAAGGGTAACACCTATCACAGACAATATTTTATCTTCTCTAATAACTAAATAAGTGTAAAAAAGAAAATTATTTTTTGTTTATCAAAATCATTTAATTGAGTTGCTTATGTGAAAATTTGATTAACCTATTGACTCCTCCACAGAATACAGATCTAGGGGGTGATCTTGTTCCGCAAGCAATATCTTTGCAACGAAGCATGTGCCGATGAGAGTTTTTATGTTATTTGATAAAAAAAATGTTTATCCTTTCATTGTTCATCGGTTTTAGTTTATTTTTCATAAAGTGAATCTCGATTGTCAACGGAGAATTCTAACTCACCTGGTGGGCTTCTATTCTGTGAGAGAAGAAGTTTAGTATAAATAGAATTCGTTTACAGTGAATTCTGCTTCCAGCAAAGTTACTAATCTCAAACTAACTTCNCAAGTCCACTTTCGATTAGGTTTATGTTGAAACCTTGTGTTACATATGTAGAGATTGTGTGTCGCCGCAAATTCTAGGAGGCGTTCTCCTCGTTCGTTTCTATCGCCATAACCGTATTTACCCATAACGGATTTCCAATCTGTATTATCATTACCAATTTTTGCGTTCCAATCTCCTGTCAGAATGATTACATCTTTTTTATCTGTCTTTGTTATTACTTCCTCAATATCATTGTAGAATGCTTCAATTTCTTCTTCTGACGATGCAGAAGTTGGCGCATATGCATGTATGATTGAGATTTTAAACGGTGCTGCATCGAATCGTGCCGAAATTATTCGTGAACTTATTGGATTGTATCCTATCAAAGCCTTTTTAGCTTGTGCACTTAGTAAGAAACCTACACCCCTCATATGTACGGTCTCTTCTCCTGACCAGATGAAATCCCCATTCGATGTTTCACCTTTTCCTGTCCATCGCACTTCAGAAATACCAATTATATCGTACTTGAAACGTTTCATTTCGTTTCTAAGTAGTTCTAATTTTCCAGCAGCCCAAAGGGTCTGCACATTCCATGTTCCTACTGTCAGAGTATTTTTGGCAGGTATTAGTTTTTGCGTGTTTTTCGTCGTATACTTTGTATGTAAGTTTTGTAAGTTTTTTCCAGTAGCCAATTTTTCGACTCTGTCCTGGTCACTCGACAGAGGACGCGGACCTTGTTTTCCCGGGCGACGTCCGAGCCGGTATGTTTTAGTGCTAAAGTCGTTCATGGTTAGTTTCTTTCGTCTTTTTGTTTTTACAGACGGCGGTATCTGCACCCCTTTCGTCCAACACTCCTCCTTTGTCCGGACTTGTGACCGGCATAGAAACCACAAAATAGTAGTATCCATGGTGGAGTTTTCTTGCACGTACTTATACATTATTACCAACAATAAATGGAAATTCGAATATATTGAATAATGAAAACATAAATGAAGAACAAGAAATGATTGATGAAACATCAATTATATCTTCATCAAATAATATTATTATATTGAACTTGTTGAATATGAATGCACAAACAATCCTATACATTACCACATAAGCAATACTTCTTCTTCGTCCATTAGGGTGGGGGTATGAGTGCCACCGCAGAGAAAACCCACATTCATACCCTTTGTATTAAACATCATGGGGACAACTTCGAACATTTACTGTAAAATGATTAGCGAAAAAATTTTTTCTATCAATAAATATTTAAAAGTTCAGAGAACTTTTTGACTCACCTAAATTTTGTTTTAAAACAAAATGTAATCTTGAATTATTGTCAAGCTTTTTTATGCTTGTAAATTCTAGGACAAACTTGAAAAACAAGAAAAAAAAGTCAACACAGCACATTAAAAGGATGTGAAAACAAATTTAGGTGATCTTTCAGAGAAAAACGTACTCCAATGCATGTGAATGATCGATAAATAGGTTAGTGCTTTAGCAATGATATTAAACAGAAATATTATTAAATAACTATGCAATCATTGAAATGAATCAGTATTGTTTGAAGTAGTTTTCCATGATACTTTATAATAAATGTCACCCGATCAACTTGGTCTTAAAAATTTAAAACGAATTTTTTCATTGATTCAAAATGAAAAAGAGATGTCTTTATAATTGTTTATTAGCTTAGAATAACAATAACAAGTTCATATATTTCTAAAAGACATAGAACGATATCATTAATATAGATTGAATGACGTAAATTTCATTCGTTATTGTGTCATTACAGGCGTAAATAAAAAATACAAACATAAGTTACTATCGAAAGTATTTTGTTGAAAAAATGGCTTGATAAATTTGTTTGTATTTATCTGTTTTGAAATACTATTTTATAATTAAACGAAGTAAATAATTGAAATTTCAAAAAATAGATAAAAAAACAGAGTGAATAGAAAAAATATAACCTTATTCCATTTGCTTTTCATTTCTATATAATATATCATAGCTTAGCTAATGCTTATTAGTTACATGTAGTTAATATTAAATACAATAGTCACAAAAAAGTCGTGCTACTAGGTAAAAATTACATCAAATTAAATCTTTTTGCCTTATATATTTTGTCAATAAGCAGAGCTCAGTGAGCCATGATCGAAAGTAGTAGCTAATCGAGCCTGATCGCCTTTAGTGTAATGAGTTAATCATAAAAATATTGACTTTTCTGAGTGCTCACAATAGACTTTTTAAACATTTTTCTGTTTCTCTGACGCAAGTCGTCGGACATTCTGTAGACTTTTTCGGCATTTTGTTCCTATATTACGATCGGTGAAAGATTCGGAGTCAATTAGATTGGCTTTCTGGCTAGTTTCAATATGACGTTCGTTCTAACGAATGTTACATCTATTTGATTGGTTAACTATCCTAAACCAATAATATTATTCAACAGTATATCAGATGGATGCATTAATGTGTGATATCAAGTTTCTTGAGTCATTATCAATAGAGATAGTGTTCTTTATTTTCTGCTTGTTTTATTATTCTTACAAAACATCTACCCAGTCTGGAACAAAACGGTATGCATCGATGCTTTTATCTTTTGTGGGAAAATATTCAGTCTTTTGTCTATATAAATGGCTCTTGCATATCAATATTAATATACTTATTTCATTTTAATAAATACAAAATACAAAACTTGGTATGTTAAGTTATTTTCTTTTTCACAGCAGAAACTATTATAGACTTGAAATGGAATAGAAAGATTTTCAAACAATTGTTTTTTCGAAGAATATCTTCAATGGATTCTAAACTTTCGACAAAACAGTTTTTTCTTCATAATAACTTTATAGAATTCTTGGTGTTTCTTTTAAAAATACTTGTTATAAATGCATCATTTGTATAGATCCTTTTTTATTAATTTCAGCTTTTCAAATATTTTGCAAAACAAAACTATTTATCATGACAACAAATTATATTCAATCTAAAGGACAGATTTCTAAATCATCTAGAAATCTTATTCATTCTAATAAAACAGAACATCTTTATACGAACCATTTCATCTGTTCATTTGCTGATGATATTACACTTTATCAATATAATGTAGTAATTGAAGAACTCGGTTCAAAATCTGATGATTGGTTTGAAGTAAAAGGTCGTTTACGATGTTCTCTTATCATGCAATTATTTATTCATGATCATCAATTCAATAAAAATGAATTTGTATGGTATGATGAACAAAAATGTTTATATAGTACATCAGTTTTATCAACACCACAAACGAAAATAAGTGAAAATGGTCTAAATCGACTTCAGATTAAATCATTACCTCATCCATGTCCATGGTCAACAAACAATATTAAAAATTACAAGAATGGACAAATAAATACGTATCCATATGATGCAATACGTATTTTAGAAACACTTTTAAAACGATCGATTCAAGATCGAGTTAAAATTGTTAGTAATAAATGTTATTTTTTCGATGAACCATCAGATAAACTTAATAATGGTTTTGAAAAACGACATGGTTTTATACAAGCATTGAATCTTTCTGCTAATTATTTAACATTGAATATTCAAACAAAATTAACAACCTTTTATTCTGCAATTTCGTTACTTGATTTTGTTCATAAACAAATTGGTGGAGAACGAATTCCACTTAATAATGAATATAAAAATTTAAATCGAGTTTTAAGAAATTGTCTTATTGTAACAAAACAATCCAATTGGAAAGAAGTTTACGAATTTGAACGATTTGATCATCGACGACCTGGAGAAATAAATACGGATTCTGGTGATTCATTAATTGAATATTATCAAAAGAAAGGTATCATCTTAAATCAAACAAATTATCCATGTATTGAAGTATATCGGCAAAAAAATTCTGATAAACCATGTCATTTACCATTGGAACTTTGTCGAATTAAAGAATGGCAAATTTATGATGATCCAGTGAGTTTTTCATTAATAATAAAATTGAAGAATCTATTCATATTTTATAGATGCCTGAAGTACGAACCGACGACAAACTTATTCCTACACCTGAACAACGTTATTATGCCATTATAAATACCATTGATAAATGTTATTATAAATCAGCTTCAAATTTACTCTGTCGTGCTGTTGGTTTTACGATAGATAGGAAAGAAATGTTGGAATTGGATGCTCGAATTTTAACTCAACCACAAATTCTATCAGCTCACAATCATCTAGCTCGTATTGATAATGGACGTATTTACCTGAATGGATTTTTATTTGAACCTAAACCAATTTCAAAATTAGCAATTACCTATTTCGGTACAGATTATGAACAGCAAAAAGGTTTAACAGATAAATTTTCTAATACTTTACTCAATGTAAGTTTTCTTTATTTCAACGAATAACACACAAAAATTATGAACATTTAATTTTCTTGTAGAAGATGAAAAGTTTTAATATCAATGTACAACATGTAGAATTTACTGAGAATTCAATAGATAATGATATTGAAAAGATTGATAAATATTTTTATTCAATAAAAGAACAAAACTATAGTTTTATAGTTTGTATTATGAATGCTAGAAATCAAGATGATCTTACACAACTTAAAGTTAAGATAAAAACATCTGGTACACTTACATATGGTAAATTATCTTAATCTATTTGAAATAATCTATAAATATTATTTTCAATATTTAGGTATAATGACACAATGTGCTTTAGTATCGGAAATTCCAAACAATGAAAAACAACTTGAAAATTATTGTGAAAATTTAGTTCGAAAAGTTAATTTTAAAAATGGTGGTATTAATACTAAAGTTGATTTGAATATAACAGTGAAAAATAAACAATTGAAGAACAATTCCTTTATGTTCTTCGGAGCAGATGTTATTCATCCAACTAATGTTACTCGTAAACATCCGTCTATTGCAGGTAGAAAATTTCTTATTTTATTTGTATTAACAAAACAAACTAAAATTTAATTCAGCTATTGTTGGTTCGAGTGATTCATCATGTTCAAGAACAGCTGTACGTGTTTGTAAACAATATCCAAAACAAGGAAAATGTTCAATTGAAACAATTCATGGCATGACAGAAATGATAAAACAATTATTAGATTATTATCGACAAGTAAATCGATTCCTTCCAAGTAAAATAGTCTTCTACAGAGATGGTAAATATTAATTTGTTTTTTTTCTTTGATGAATTTCTAATAAGTAATAAATTATTTAGGAGTTGATGATGGACAATTTAAAACAATTCATAATTATGAAATACCAGCAATACGTCAAGCTTTTAATGGTAATATATTTATATTTTCTTTGTTCATATTGAATACTAAATATTTTGTATTAGATATCTATGGTCATCCAAAGGAACATCCATCTCTCACTTTTATTGTTGTCAAAAAACGTCATAATACACGTTTCTTCACTTATAATCAAAATCCTGTACAACAAAATAATAGAAATTCTTCAAGATCGAAAAAAATTCCGAAAGAAACTGATAATATGTCAATTGGTGCTGTCATTGATACAACAATTGTTCAACCGAATGAAAATAATTTTTATTTAAATTCCCATACTGCTTATCAAGGTGTTAATCGACCACCACATTATCATGTTCTTTTGAATGGAATTGGCTTTACAACTAATGAATTACAATTATTAACATTTCATTTATGTTTTACGGATCCTCGATCATCAGCTGCTGAAGCTATTCCATCGGTAGTACATCAAGCTGATCTAGCTGCATTCAATGCAAGAGATTTATTTTATAATGATGATGAGTAAGATATGATTATAAAGATTATTATTTAATTAAGATGTCTTGTACTTTGTTTTTCAGTTCATCGACAACGGTCGACGGTAGACGACATTGGTCATTTCAAAATCCTTCACCCAATGATTTGGACTACGAGATTCTTCAGGTTCATGAAAATCTTCAAAATTTACCTGTATTGGGTTAATTTAAATGTTTAAAATTATAAGAATTAACTTGCTGAAGACTCATCCGGAACTGTCACCCCCATACTTTTTAAATATTTTTTTTATTTTTAATTAAATTTGTTTTAATCAAGAATATTTTATTTTTTAAATAATAAAAAAAGTAAAACTAAATGTTCAAGAATCGATTTTACACTTGCTATTTAATACAAAAATGTTATTTGTATTACTTAGTTAACTATATTAATTATTAAATGAGCCACAAAAAGAAAACGCTGAGATGATCAGTTTAAATTCGATATTCTTAGTTTAATATGTACAGGGCAAACTTTTCTTATGCAACAGAGCCACGAAGCTTAGATAGACTAAAGTCCATTGTAGATTTAGATATCATAGGCTTAAACATTTGTTTTTCTTTTCTTTGGATTGATAGACTTATGTAATGCATCGAAATTCTTGTAAAAACGTCAACATTTTTAACTGGTTTCGGCGGTAAAAAGTAATATTACTGTAGTAAAGCAGACTCAGAAAACATTCTTGGGAAAAAATTAAGTTCCGTATAATTAAATCTTGGACCCTTCAAATGCCCATGGATTAAAGTAGTACTGCTGTATGGAAAAATCGATTTAGATCAACTACAAACCGCTGAAAATTTTCTTCACCTTGAATGTCTCGAGCTCATATAACTAAAACACACAAGTTAATTATCTTTTTTGTGAACGATTTGGCTTCGTTAACGTTTTTTTGAAACAAGTTGAGACCTTTTTTTTTTATAAACTGCATTAGTTTTATATAGTGCAAAATGTGAGTTGAAGATACGCAGCATTAATTGTGTTTCAAATAAATGGCATAAAAGATTCGCCTCACTTCATTCTCATTCTTAGCTTCATACGAGAAATATAATAAAAGCTGTTGAGTCTATCCTAGATTCAAAACGCTCCATGGCCTATGCCTTTATCCTGTGCAAGAAAATTTATCTTACCCTACATTTTTCTCATGTTGATTGTAGCTTAAAGTGCTGGAAAAAAGTTTAACAACTCTGTACTTTTGATTGACTTTTTCTATACTAGATGTACTGTCATGACCAGGTTTTTAAAAATTCGATCATGATATTGTTCAGACTTTTGAAGACTGTTGGAGTGTTTTATTTTAACAGTATTATCGTAAAAATAAGAAAATTTTAAACAAAATGAATGGTCGCTGTATTTTTTACGACCTAGCCTAAAAGAACTAAAAACATCACAAAAGCCGTAAAATATGAAATTTACCAAAAATTGAAGAAAAAAAAACGCCTTTTTTTCGGCTTTTCGGATGCCTTTAACTTTTTAATGAAAGTCGATAGAAAATGTGTGGGTGCGTGACACAGAAACCGACACCCACACCTATACTACACTCTAGCCAATCATTTCATGTTACAATCAGCACGACTAGACTCCAGTGCAAGTGTGCTTTCGTCAGATTTATCAAAAACAGCTCTGTCAGCAGAATTTCAGACTTCCTCGATTATAAAATCTACATTTACACATCTTATGCACCTGTTCTAGCCAATTTTGCATTAGTTTACATTTCCAATCAAAACAAAAATTGTTGTACTTAACAACGGATTCTATAGCTGAAAAGTCGTATAACTGTTATATACTATTGTAAATAGCTAATTGACTATATAAAAAATGGAAATAAAAATGTCGAATAGAAAGAAAATTGTATATGAATATTGCGACAAAATTGAATTCAGCCGTTAGTTCTGTAAATTTGATTTTTATACAATTTTGATATAAATGATTGTCAAATGAAGATATTATTGGTGAAACACTGGCCCTTTCTTCCTTTTTTTTGCTTCGTAGACTCTTAAAGACAATACAAATGTAAGAAGTTTGAAGTATTACATATCTCGTATAAATAAAGATCAAATGATTGACAAAAACTTATCGGATGAGTTGTTTAAATTAATCAAAAATCAATGATAATATGGATCAGAACAATTTGTTCTGTTTCTAAAGGTCATATTTATTGAAGTGACTTGTAAATAATGTGTAAATGCGTTGTTGCTTTTCGTCGTGTTTTATATATAACAGGTTTTTCATTAAAATAGAAAACAAATAACACGGGTTTTTTCCAACTTTAATTTACTTGGCTTTTTCCACCTTTCTATTCTGACGTCATTCATACATCGAAAAATGTGTGTTTTTTCTTCTCATTCTTACTTCCATCGCATTGAAGTAAGTAACGCAAATATTTAGTTATTTGATCGTTAAAAGAAACTGAATTATATACATATATATTCTATGTCTTCATTTGAACCTATTGTGGCCATTTTTGGTTCCAGCAAAAGTATTTCAACTATTAATTTACGATTACCAATTTCTTTCGTACTTGCTATTGATGAAGCATCACTCAAACGTTTAATCAATGTCGATCCAGAATCTTTTGATACATGTTTACATCGATATTTTGTCATTCTTCTTGACTCAATTACTGATGAACTTTTCGATCATCTTCAAATCAATCATCATGTTCAAGCAATTTACAGTGAAAATGAGTTTGTTAATGCTTCTAAACGACATAAATTACGTCATATTATAAATAAACAATGGCAACAACTTACATTAGATTTAACATCTGATATCGTATATTTTCTCACAGTTGAAGGCGAAAAACAAGCAAAAGTAGAACAAATGCCGTTGGCACAAGTCTATTATCGTCAAGCACGACTGTTGAAAGAATGGGCCATGTCATTTCTCAAAGTATATAACATACGACAAGCATATTTTTGTTTCAAATCATCTAATTTTGTTTTCAGGCTGAACCATGTCATATTCTGCTCATTCCACTGAATAGCAGCCAAGAAAATTTGGACAACACCTATGAAGAATTACAAAAAATCTGTTAGTATAAAACGAAAAATATAGGTTGTATGAAATGATACAAAGAAGTCTCACTACTACGCAAAAAATTACATCAATTTCAATCCTTGTACTTGATATTTAGACTAAAAATAGAGTTCAGTAAGCTGTAATTCCCATGTTTCTATTGCATGACAGATAGAGTACTTCAATCCGATGAGACCTTGAGGTCCTGGAAGCCTCCTTTGTCTGGGGTGGTCTTCGTATGGATCACTTCTGTATCTTATTAAAATTAGCTGAAGATATCAGTTACTTTTCATCGAATTTTTATTGGTGATACAAGCACCGCTGAGCTACTGAATGAAAGATCTAAAAGGTCATAAGATTAATTTTTTGTGTTAAAATATTCTCATCTGAAGAAAAATTGTATGTTGATCTTCTAACTGTTTCTCGAAAAGGTCAACCAAAGTTCAACATGCTTCGATTGTAATGAAACTGTGAGATTAGCGTATTAAAGTTTAGATACATTTTACCTCATACTACACAGTGGGGGGCCAGACGGACATATGCGAAAATACTCTTTTCCAGAATCTAACTGTTTGCATAGATACATGCATATGTGATCTATCATTTCCTATAATAGCGATTCTCAAGTTTTATAGAGCCCAAGAAAAGAATCTGCCAAGGCTTGGATCCAAAAATCAGTATAAGTAAAGAAAGTCAAGCTGCTCGGCAATATTACACAAGCAAACAATTCTCGCAAAAGTCTTGCTCACCTATGGACTTTATGGTAAAAAAACAACTATCGTAATCTAATTTAAAATAGAGTAGAAAACAAGGAGTCTCTATGCCAAAAACTTACCGTTCCGTATATTAAAAACCCTACGAAGGGGTAATGTCCGATCGAGCTGAAATCTTTATCAAACACTCATGGATATGTATCCTAATAATGATAGTAGCACCAATGCGTGAAATATTTCCTAGGCTATTTTAGAGGTTTTCCCAACATCACAGGTTTTTGACCTAAAAATCCAGTTTTAGGCATTTATATTACACTTTGAACAAAAAAACTAAGGTGGCATTCAGAATCATCACATCAAACTACATCGAATTACATATAGCTCAACATATTTTTCAAACTGCCAGCCATATTTTTTCGAAAAAAAAATTTTTTAAAAAGCTTTTATTTTCTTAAAAACGATTTTCTAAGTGGTATAACGTCATTTCTAGTAAAATGAAAGCCATTCCTAAGCAAAAGAAAAACGCATGTCCGCCAGCCTATGCGAAAGTTTCCCACTGTGCCCTGGATGTTTGTTTTTCTACCCATTCTCTTGTGTGAACAATATATAAGAATGCTTTCATAATGAACTGAAAGGATGAAATAGCTCAATAAAACATCATCGATAAGGATGACGATAACGCTATTCTTCCAGTGCGTCGCATAAAATAGTGTTAATCTTTATTCAAAAATTTTACAAAAATAAAATAAATTTTTTATTTAGAATTAAAACTTCTTTTTGTATTTGCACTTATAGGTACTAAACTTGGTTATTCATCAGCCATAATTCGAACACTCGACAAATATATTTCTATTGATGCCGCAGAAAAATCACAATTGATGCCGTATAGTTCAACTTTATTTAATAATGAACATCCACATTATATCTGTGAATTAATTAAAAAATTATCACCATTAAGATTCTATTTATATGGTAATGATTATTTTATTTCAAGTGATTGGAGTAATTTGATGATTGCTCGAGAAATTCATGTCATGGAAGATGAAGATAATTGGTGTGCATTTCTTGAAAATGAACCTATTGATAATGAAATTAAATGGAATTTTAAACCTATGTTCGGAGAAAAATGGAAAGTAAATCATATATCACCAATTAATTTAAGTAATTTAGATAAAAATCTTCGATTTCAATCAGCACTTCGACGATCTTTTAAAACATTTAGTCAACGTCAAATTGAAGTGACGTCGACAATTTTTGAATGGTACGATCAATGTATTCGAAATGGTGATCTCCAATTAGAAGTAAAATTTATTTATTTTTTACTAATAATAATCAATATAATTAATTTCATATTCTTTTCAAATAGCCTAAATTGACCAGTCAAGAAGAAGCAAAACTTCCGAGAACAAAGGGTGAAACAAGTAGAACACTAGTTCGAAACCCTGTTCAAAATCTATCATTCCAATCACTTCGTCCATCAGTACGAAGAAAAGTAGTTTCATTCATTTGGCTTGATGAATTTGTAAATTTTCCTCAAGAGTATCTTAATCGAATAATTAAACCATCAACATGGTACTTCTTTGATGATATATCAACTTGTATACGATATATTGAAGATCAATTACGAGAACAGAAACAAATTTTTCTTGTTATTTCGGATGTACTTGGTCAAGAGTTATTTCTTACATACTTTAATTTAATGTCATTAATACCATTTGTATATATTTATTGTTCTCGACTTAATTTGAATATTGATTGGATAAAAAATTATTCTCAAATTCAAGGAATTTATAATGATTCAATAAAACTTAGTGAACAAATAAAACAAGATCTACATCAAAGTTCTCAATCTGGGTATATTAATAATAATCATCTGTATCTCAACTCGAATACAAATCAAGTGAGAAGTTCATAACAAAGCTTAGAGAAAAATTTTGACTTTTAACATTCTAGAGACTTAGTAGCAAACTACTGTATATTATATAACAAAGAATTTCAAATAAACACAGACGAGTTCTCCATCCGCTCATTTGAGAGAATTATAGATTGAAACGTGTATAATGAAAGAAAATGATTCAATAGATTATTAATTAGGCAATTCTTTTTTTGAACTTTCGAAAATTGTTATGACAGCATTTTTTTTTTCGTCAAAAGTCATTTATTCTCAGTTGAACTTGTATAGTCAGAGAATAGAATAATTCTTAAGAATTTTATTATAAAATGGATTATTTAGCTTGATTTACAAACATATAACACAACATCGACAATCTCATTACCATGGATTGTCTATAATCAAGAGCAAACTCATTTGTTCTTAGCTCATCAACGTATGATTGATACTCTTCTTTCTATGCCACATACAATTGAATCACGTGATGAAATGCTTGTCGAATGTCATCGAATCTTTCAGGATAATGCACCAGCTCTAGCCGAAATTAATGCATTCAATCGAGGCTACAACTCAAATATTGCTATTCAATGGTATTCACGCAATGGATTTCTTTATCGAAGAATCAATCAAGTACTTCGATCAAATAATGCCGACGAAATATTTAAAATAAGATATTTTCTAAAGGATCTCTATGCACAACTTAATGAATTATATGTACAAGAAAGTTTATGTGATTCATATCAGCAACAAGATATAACAATGGTTTATCGTGGTCAGCATATGTCCAAAACAGAATATGGATATTTTCAAAAGATTCAAGGTGATATTATATCAATCAATATGTTTTTATCGACAACTAAATCATTGCAAACTGCACTTGACTTCGCAAATACATCGATGGAGAACAATGATATGATTCCCGTACTATTCTCCATTAAAATACATCGAATCTGCAAATATATTCGACCTGTTGCTGATATTTCCAAATGTTCGGTATTTCCAGATGAAGAAGAAGTTTTATTTTCTATGGGTAGTATCTTTCGTGTGCACAATGTGGATATATTTAACACAAAAGATAACATTCCTATTATACATTTAACATTGATGGATATAAAAGAATTTATGAACAATCACTTCGAATAATTTAATACATCAACTTTGAAAAACAGTTCTTTTTTTGAAAATTTATTCCATTATAAATAATATAAACTATTTGATTTTTATACAAACATTTCTTATGTTTCAACGAAATCTAATATATGATGCAAAAGTAATGTGACAAATATCAAACTCTATATCTCTTTTCGATAGAAACCATATGTTCATCAACGAAATGCCACAAGAAAAACAAAAGAAGCACTCTAAAACTAGATTCACACTTTTCATATAATATCACTTAAAAAGAGTGTTAAAGTATAAGAGTAAAAATTTAAGTCTCAACACACTACACTACAGATCGCATATCAATTAATACTTGCTTATGCATTTCTGGAGGATAAAATAACAAGATGATGAAGAAATGTCATCATCTTTTTTTGTCGATTTCTTCATAATTCTTTGTATTCTTAATATGATGTGTAGGTTCCTTTGATGAAAAGATCATCGTTAATAGGCTGCTCTAGCATTTATAAGTGTACTTCTTTTTCTGATAAGAATAATATGTATAAGTAAATATTCAAACAAGAAAAATATAAGAAATACGTCAAAATGGTATAAAAACATAAAGATATGCATCAAATGAATCATCACTTTCATGTGTTAACAGCTATATTGGTCTTTCAAAATAGGGTTAATTGTAGCGGATCATGACCTCTATATGACCATAGCCTTAACGAATATTATGACACGAAGTATAGTTAGTTTCTATATAATTCCGTTGTCTTAGGTTCATATTAAACATATTTTTTATATGTTAACATTTCTTACACATTTGTTTTTTTTTGAATGCTTGATATCGTAGATTTGAAGATTGTTGTAATATGCATATTCGTCCTTTTCGATTACTTGTGATACTTTGTATAATATATCAAGCAATTAATAACGTCGTTCTCAATGATCGATTTGCGTTATATTTTATTCTCTGTTTATTCTTTATTGATGTTCATTTTTTGTACTTATTCTTTTGCCAATATTACCCTTTTACAACTCAAAACCATATTATTTTATTCAAGGATGAAATACAGTAATAGATGAAATATGTACAGTCACGGGTATTTAACCGAAAAATCAATAAATATATTTAAAAATTTTGATCATCTGACGCATCAGTATCTAATAAAAAAAACGAATCCCTCGAGCGTGCAAATGATACATGTACATTACCTTGTACGTAGAAGAATATGTAAAAAGAGAAATAAAAACAAGCAAATAACAAAAATACATTTTATTATAATATTAGAATTATTATTAACACATCATAATATAAATCCTTCATATTCAAAGCAACAAAAAACAATATTCTCTAAAAATGATAGATATTTCTCATAATCTTACCTATCCATTATGTCATTTAGAAGATGTACTTTTTCCATTATTCGAAAAATATTATACAACTGATAGTTTACGTGTAACTATTGAAAGTGCAAATCATATATGGTGTGCATATGAAAATGATAAATGTATTGGTTGTGTATTGATTACTGATATTGGTTCTTATGGTGGATTATATGTTCTTTTATTTGGTGTTAGTAAATCAAAACAAAGACGTGGAATAGGAACATGTTTATTAGAAAGTATTATTAAATGGTCTCGTGAACATGGACATACATTTATTTATCTTCATACAACACATGATAATGAAGAAGCTATTAAATTATATGAGAAAGCTGGTTTTCAAAAAGGATTTGATCAACCTGAGTATATTGAACAATTACCACAATGTGGATCTGATGTACTTTCAATGATATTATTCATATGAAACATAGTGCATAAACTTTTGATAAAATTTTTCAATAGTTTTCTATGTTACTTAAGAAAAATGTACTGTCTGTCCAATATAATATAGGGACCGTTCCTATTTCTCGAATAAATATTGCTAGGAAAAAGATAGAGATTTGCAGTTTTCATCATTTACAACAGAATAGGAGACGGAGGAGGATATCTATAGAACCATGTTAAATGTAATTGGTTTAGTGGTGAGCCAATCGCATGTAATATTGATATAAATTTTCACAAAGAGTATTCTGAATGATGCATTCTTCATTTGATTTACGTAATTTTAATATCTCTATCTCACACTGTTTAAGAACTATGACAATTTTTGAGACACCTGCTTACGGCTAATTAGCCTGGAATCATTCTGAAAAGAGATAACTTAGCAAGCTGAGTCTAGTGGTGGTGATGATGTTTGTTTTGATTTAAAAAAAAAAGGACGCAACCAGAACACTAGCTCCTTTGTTGTTCTGCGAAAGATAATGGAAAGAATATCACCTGCTACTACTATTCCAAAATAAGAGAGAAACTAGTGATCTAGCTTTGTCACTAGTTTCGAAATATTTTGAAATCAAAAACAGACATCAGCACTAGATTCATCGTAGTAAGTTACCCTTCTACACATCAATATTCCGGATGATTCCAGACCCATTAGTCGATATCATGGGTGTCACAAAAATGTGTATAAAGCTTGTGAATCAAGCGAAATAAAGTATTAAATGTCAGTTGAGTATAGTTTTCATTAGTTCTTTATTTTGTTTGAGGAAAAAATTTGGCTGTTACATAGTCAAAGAAAAATTTATTTTTATGTGTAAATTTAATTTATATGTTCGAATATTAAGAGACAAAGCCGTTGTTTCTGAACAAGTTAGTTATGATTTTTTTTTTAATAGAAAGTCTTGAATAAGAGAATAGATAAGTCGTTTATGTAGTATTTTGTTTTAGTTACCAATTGTTATGATGATCTCAGACACTGTTGTTACTGCTGCTGCTGTTGTTGATCTCGAATGTCTACGAAAATGATGGAAAACAATGATTAATATGGTTGAATGTTATAATTAAAACGAAAGTCCTAATTTGAACTCTGTTGATGAATATTCTCAATTCTAGACTTAAAAGGAAACTAAAAGCTTAGACATATAAAAATGTGGACAGAGTTCTCAATGATTTAGTTACACATTCTACTTGTTAAATTAAATAATTAGGTTATCTCTTTTAAGAGCATACAAAACTAATTTCTATTGATGAAATTTATATTGGATTACAAACTGTTTCTGTTATCTCAACTTCACTTGTAGTTACTAATATTTCCGTTGTTTTCATGTTCATGGTGGCCATTGTTGTCGTAATATCTATGAAATTTATAAATTAAAATATGAAGTGAAAAGAATCTCATTAATTTTGATTATATATATTACATATAATACAGATTACATACTTTCATTTGTTGCTGATTCATCTGTCGTTGGTATTGTCGTCACAGGTGTTTTTATTATATCTGATGAGTTTATAAAATCAAAAAGATTCTTATTGATTGGATTATGTTTTAAAACTGATAACATACCTGTTTTTGTTGAAGAAGTTTCATCGGTTGTTGATATATGCGTTGTTGTAGTTGTTGTTGTTGTTGTTGTTGTTGTTTTCGTATCTGTAAAGTTTGTAAAATGAAAAAAAATCATAAATTGAAAGGATTCCTATTGATTTGATTATCTATCAAACTGATAACATACCTATTTTTGTTGAAGAAATTTCACCAGTTGTTGATGCAGATGTTGTTGTTGTTGTTGTTATTATTTTGGTATCTGAAAAGTTTGTAAAATGAAATAAATCATAAATCGAAAAGATCCTTATTGATTTAATTATGTAAAAAAACTTATTTGATTAATTATACATAAAATTGATTACATACTTTCAGTTGTTAACAAAATTTCATTAGTCGTTTCTATTTTCGATGTTGGTTTTGTAGTTATTGTTGTTGTTGTTTTTGTTCGTTTCGTAAGAACCACAGTAGTCGGAATAACAATTATCGCAATGACTATGACAGCAACAACAATACCTAGAATAATCCATAATCTTTTTCTTCTAACAGCTACATTTCTAAAAACAAAAATTCAAATTTTGTTTTTTGATAAATTTCAAATAAAAAAAAGAAAGAATTTTTACTCCGTCATTGTTGATGAATGCGATGCATGACTTGTTTCTAATACCATTGATGAAAGTTAAGCTATTCAAATGATGTACAATACTAGTCAATTTTTGTTGTGTGTTATTGTAAGAATTTTTTATGATTAAAAATACTTTTATATATGTATTCTCATTCTCTCGTTTTTCATAAAATGAATTAGAATTAGAAAAAAAAAATAACTCTCAAACGTCATGTGATATTTACTAATGATTATTGATATTTTCCATCTGTTATTTTAATTTATATATTTTTATTTTTGAAGTTGTGTGTACATGAAAAACTATTATCAACGAAACATCATTAGCTATTTGTTCAATAAGTATTTACAATATAAATATCACAGAAAAGCCTTCTGTGTATGTGTTTTCATTTCTGTTGATTTTAAAAAACGGAAGTTGGTCAGCGAATATAATTGAACACCTTGATTAGGTGAACGACTGCCAAAGTTCATCTTTTTTTTGTTTTCTTTTTTAGATTTTTTGAACTTTTCAAAACAACAAGATTTATCTGAACTGATCCTTTTGATAGCATATAATATATTCTTACCGTATCAAGATGGAGCGATAATTCTGAAGAGTTACTCTTCACTCTCAGCTGATTCGCAGCTCTAAATATTATTCTCAATTCGACCCTGAACTAGACGTCTGCAAATCAATTCTGAAAGCTGTTAGATTATTGCCAATTTTTAAGTTTTCCCATGCATTTTAAGAATGTGAGCAGAAATATTTGCAAGAAATAATTTTTAATTTAGATTATTTTTTCTAGATTTTTGTTATTCTATATTTTAGATAGGAGTTACTCAGTATTTATGTATTGTTTTAAAATAAACCATGTTGACAAGGATATGTCATTCCGGAAAACATACTTTTCTATAATGCATTGCAACTAAACTATCAGATATATATATATATATTTCATTTCTATTTTCCATGAAATGATGAGACAGAAAACAGTAGATAATTGATAGAAACATGTAGCAGAAAATGTTATATCTAATGACGTCAAGTATATTATATTAGTTGTCAGACTCGATGAGCATAATATAAAACAAAATGAGAAGAATGGTAGTTGAGCGATTGAGTAATTATTTATTATTTCAATTTTTTACCAACCAGATATTCTGTATCATTCGTTTTTTCCTCTAAAGATCCTGAATTTTGTTCGTTGTTTTAGAAACCTATTGAAATTCATGTTGTCTTCTTGAACCAATAATTATAAATTTTCAATCACAAAATAGACAGATAATAACAAATTTTAAAAACAAAAAGAAAAGAAAAGGAAGAAACAAAGGAAAATTTTGCTCATGTGTACATCAAATAAACAAAAACGCTTTTAATTAGGCATGAAATTAAAATGTATTAGAAACACTGCAGTCAACCTTTCCTAAATTTCCTCTAACAAGAGCTCACCATCAATTGAATCCTATAGTGCAATTAAACATCTATTGTAATACTTAAACACATATCTTCTCAAGAAATGTCATCACATACACTTGCAAAAACAAGTATCTGATTATTGAAGACAATGCAAAATTCTTTTCATGAAAGCATAATAAAAATGCCATAGGTCATCACATTGGACTTTTGTAATAAATAGAAACAATGTAAATAATCATGTAAATAGAGGCAGTATAATATAAGACTGAAAAATACTTCTGCACAATACTGTAGATGTAGTGCCTGGTACTCGAAAGAAATTTACCATTGTAATTCCCGCTCAAATCTTAATCATATTTTTGTTGATCATTGTACTCTGGTCAATCTTAGGGGTTACTCAGTAATCTATATATATTTGAATTTAGGATTTCTAATTGCACATGCTGACCATATTGTTTTCATTTTATCCAGATTGATTGGTTGAATAGAAAGAGTGAAATGATGATTATGACACTAGAATTCTCTTTTTATGTTTTTTCTTGTTTCTCTATAGAGTTCTATAATCCTCAAGACAAACTTAATACGAGATGGCAATCGAAGGAAAATGCTATCCTGTTCTGGTCTATTTATATTCTGCTCAGAATTCTGGAGAAATTTTTATATTCTCAAAGAGAATATATATAAGATTTAGTGTTTTATCTAAAAATAGTTAAGAAGAAACGGATTTTCGTTTTATAATATTGATTTCTTAGATTTTTAGCTATCATCGATAAAAAATAAATTCTTGCAAATTAATTAACAAAGTAGAATTGAATATTTGATTATCATCATAAATAAATTAAGTTTTTAAGTTGAATTATATTTTATTTTGAAACAATGAATTCATTTCAACAAAAAAAAATAATTAAATTAAATTAATGCTATTTTTCATTTAAAAGATAAATAAATTTCGTATGAAAAATCGATTTGTCTTCGATATTTAATTTGATACAGTTAATTTAAATATTCAAATGTAATTAATCGATTCGATGCATATATCAAGGTAATGACTTATTTAAAAAATTGTGAAGCACCTTATAATATATATTCAGCTGATCGTTGTAATAATGTACTTGTTATTCCATTAGATAAACTAATCCTAATTGGGTCATCGACTATAAATAGATTACTTGATGATCACAAGTATAATCTTATTCTTGCATCGAATATAATTCTTTAAAATACAATAAAAATTCATGTCATTATTATTATAGATGGTCTAGATCGTTTTTTTTTCTAGTTTAACTAATTGATATTTATTGCTGAATTGTGTCATAGCAGATTCGATAAAGATTTTATTAATTACGTTTTCTACTGAATCAAATAACTAATTAAATATCTTCTCATTTTTAATTTCCTTATCTATATGAATATATTTTTATATAGATAAAAATTCTAAACACTCGTATATTAATGTTAATGAAGTACAAACAAAGAATTGTTTATTAGTCATTGATCTTCTTGTTGACATACGACAAAAGATCATCGTTGAATTATTTTCATTTGAAAAATGCAAACAAAAAGACAATGTATGTGAAGAAAAAATTTCTTTGATATTATGAATAATAACCAATAGTGAGCATATTCTTATCCTAGAAATTCATTTTCAAAGGATGTACATTCTATACATAATTCAATATGACTAAAATTTAGAAGAAAAACTATATGACTATAAATTAAATTACTTTTATTAAGTTTTTCTCGAATGTTAATCTAATCAAAATTGTTCATAATAGAATTCTACAAGAAATAGAATTCTGTTTCAAATTCTTCATAAGAATTTATTTCGTTTCGAGTTTATAAAACACTGGGATTTACAGTCGAAGTTTGTATTCTTGTACAAGACAAGAATTCTGCAGCCCCTCATGAATAATCATTCTTGTATCCAATATAGTGCAGCAAAAATTTCGTGATTGGTAGCTATTTTTGATGTCTTTGACAAAAATCAAGGATTTATGTCATACAATAATATGTTGCAAGTAAAATGTTTCAGGGCACCTCATTACTGTTCAGGAATATCAGCAATCGTACTTTTGCAGCTGCCAATGAAATTCCAGACAAATAAATTATAAAAAATCATGTGTTGCACATATCATCATTTTATTTTTCTTTCACAAAATGATATTTTTTTCAAGCAACAACATTATTAACTTGACTCGTACTTATTTAGAAATGACAGTTAGAACTTTATCAAAAATGTTAACAATTTTAAGCCTAATCTGTCCTTGATCAACTCAGACAACTGTATTCTTTTGCTCTATAGTGATTGCGAACGGACTAAAAAAGAATTTACTTGTGACATATTGTCGCATGACATCACTCCTTTATTATTTACACTTTAGATAACCAGAACAAAGTACTACATAATGCGATGTTGATTGAGTCAAAGGAACTTTTATTAATCGAATTTTAAAATCCACAAGATAGAGAACTCGAGTAATTTTAGTGCAATTGACACCTGTGATCGTCACTTATCGTAAAATATATCCATAAAAAAATTTAGTTTTCTAACTCTTATCACGATCAAAGTTCGGACGAGATGGGCGGTGTCGCGACTTTTCAATATTACTGTAAGTTAAACGAATATGATGTAGATTTGAACTAAATTAAATAATGAAATATTTCGGAGTACTTGTAAATAAAGTAGTGAAAAATAAAACTATGATGTGCAGTTTTAATACTGCATTCGTGACGTATTAAATTCAATCTATTGTAACAAATGATTTGCAGATGAAAGAATGCAGAGAAAGTACGAACAGCAATATCTTTTTCCTACTTCATACGCTTGAGTACTTTTACATAAATACATATCTTGACTCGGTAACATACTACTTCCACTGTATGCAATATTTTTATACTTTTTTCCCATGATAGATGATTTTATGAGTATGCATCTATGCACATGGTGTATGTTAACTATGAGATTCGGATATCTTATTGAAATTGGAAATCATTTTTGCTTAAAAAATGAGTCATAGAATAGTAAAAATCGGCTATGTCGACTAATTTGTCTATTACCACAAAAAGTGTAGTCAGATTACGGCGCGAAATTTGAAAATGAGAATTATTTAGATCATTGTTTCAACAATATGTCAAAAAGAGAACATATTTGTTTGTGTTTTTATTAGTATATCTTAAAAGAAATTAACAAATCTATATAATGTTATCATATGATAGAGTTGACTAGATTGTCTAATTGAAAGATACGCATGTATACTAATATTGAGACATCATCGCTTATATTTTCAACTAATATTTAAACAGTTTCAGTGTGACATATATACTTTCAGCAAAAATTAACAACATACTTGGAATAGATCTCGAAAACGGTGCAAACTTCGATGTATCAGAAATGTTTCAAAAAAGTCAATGAACCGATTCGTAGCCTAAGATGTTCCTATCTTTTGTACTCGTTATTATCTAAGACTATCGTATACTGATCTTCATTAAAAACTCAATTTCATAGAGAATATTTACATGCTCAATCTTGATAATATTTTTCTCTTAATTTAAATGTTTGACAGGTGACAAAAAAAACGTACATATATATTTATATTGTAGCTAATTGTTCAGCAGCTTGTCGAAACGGAGATATATTTATAGGCCAAGGATTTTGTATTTGTACATCACAAAGGACTGTATCTATATGTGCAATACGTATGCATTTATTTTATTACGACTAACATTTTCATTACAGATACGATCTAAGATATAAAAAATATTATCGTATTCCATTTGATGTCGTCCAAACATTGGTACAGTTATTCATCTTCTATTATTTTTAGCTTTTTTGCTCTCCGAGTTACGCAAATAGCAATACATGTACGAGCCCGAATGTTGGTGCATAAATATAGTTTGAATACCTTCATTTTGTTTTTACTCAATAGCAAACAACAATGACAACTGCTTGTAAGAAAGAATGTTTAGTTATGTAATTTAAATATAATCAGTAAATAATGTGATACTATTAGAATGTACAGTTCTTCTTGTGTACCGTAAAATCTTTTGTTCGTATATATTTACTTATGAAAATATTGAAATTTTAACAGAGAATTTTTTCATTACAACATCATGCTATTTTGGTGAAGATCTTGTTAATCTTGCTGATGGCGGATACCGATGTATTAATAAATTACAAGTAGATGATCGTATATGGTCACTTGACAAAGATGGAAAAACATTTGTCGAAGATGAAATGATCTTAATAATGCATGCAGAATCGAATAGTTCAAGTATTTGTTAAGTTTTAACTTTAAAGAAAATTTTTTCGCAATAGATCTTTTCTATGTTTTTACCACTATTAATAGTCATTCTCTTAGTCTCTCCGGTAATCGCAATATTGCCGTTTTTAACGTCAAATTGAATAAAACAATTTATATACGTGCTTCAAAAGTAACTATTGAACATCAGCTTATTATGCCTTCTGGTATAGTTGCAATCCAAATAATAAGAATATTAAGTCGAATGGGCTTCTATTCAGCATTGATAGTCATTGGTAATTTACTAGTAAATAATATTTTGACTTTAGTTAATGTTGATAGGTAAATATGAACATATCGCCAAATATTGATGATAAAAATGAGAATAAAAAAATAATCTATTCGATTTAGTTATCGAGCAATACCTGAAACTCTCCATTAAGTATTCATTTCTGTGCGAATTTACTATCATATAATAAGATGGATATATGAAAATAATTATAATTCATTTGAAAGTAATGTCAACTATGGTTTACATCCATTACCTACTTTCTTTAAAATTCATCAAATAACAATCCATTTTATTTTTTTTACGATGGAAAGATTTTGATATCTATATTTATTACAATCTTGATTGTCTATTTAATTCATCACTATTTGAATGAATTTCATTTTGATTCGAAAATGAACGCATATAACCATATATGTTTGAAGCTTTAATCTGATTTTTAATTTACATAAAAGACTCGTAAATATTGATAAATATGTTAAAGTAAATCTATTTAAAAATAAAAAGATTGAAAAATGTAAATTTTATTTCGTTAAAAATGTGATTGTTTAAAAAAATCTTTTTTGTTATCATTGAATCATTATATTTTCCAAATCCTTCTATTTTTATCTCTAAAGATATGAATCTATTTCTTTTATACCATTTCAAGCATCATACTACAAGAAAAAAACTTACATATTTGTTTTTCTAAAGTAAAATGAGTTTCAGTGAATATATTATTCAACAAACTACGTATCTTTGAGAAAAAATCATCTAACAGAGGATATATCATATGCTCCTACTTTATCCAACAAAGAAGCAAACAGCTAAATAATCGAAATGCTAATAGTGTATGTGTATGTTGCATTCTAAATTTCGCTATCGAAATAAAATAATATATGCATTTCAATAATTGAATATCATAAACAGCATTTTTATAAACTATAAAAGACGATGTGTAACAAATATTGATGATGTTTCTGCTAAAATACTTACTAGATTTTGTATATGAATTTATTTTTACTTGAATATTTATAATACACGATCGAAGACCTTTTGTCAATTGATTTATGACACAAGTTCTAGTTGAGATTTAGTTTTTTTTTTAAAGTCTCTTATATATATTTATTATTGTATTTAATCGTTATTTTAATTAAAATAAAATTTAATGTGAATATGAAAAAAAATTCACAAACTCATACGGTTTTTTTATTTTTCATATATTGATAATCAAAATTATTCAAAATCTTGATCGTATTTAAGTTATTGATAATGTTTTAAATAGAAATCAGGAATGTTTCAAGTAACGAGAAGTCGAGAAATAACTTCCGACAGTCTTGAGAAGTTTTCGTTTTACTCCATCGAAATTCTAGTGCTTTTTTGTTACCAGTCATCCAAAAAAAACACTCAAATCCTGGCGATCATCAAGTATACGAGACATTCGATAAAAACAAAAATTTCGTTGTGCATTCAATGCATCGATGTCTGAAAATATCAACCCCAAAATTTCTTTGTTTAATATCGACTTTATTATCATTTACATTCTCTTATAAATAATACTAAGAACTAGAGAATTACAAAAATGAAACTAAAATATCCAATTTGATAACAATTTATCTCCAATCAGAGCTCAGATTCAAAGAGTTTCAAGCTGAATTCTAAATGTCTTACGCAAATTTTTATTTTGTAGAAAATAGTGAAAAAACATTCAAAAATAAATAACACACTCGAAGCGAAGCGATATTCACACCTCTTTCTTACATATAGGTTTTTCGATGACATTTCAATAAACAAAAAACATTATTAACAAGTTTCATTACTATGATCTATTTTTATAAAAAGAAAATTGTCCTATGAAAACTGTTCCCTGCGAACTCACCAGGCAAAATTTTAATCAAATATAGCCGTGGGCAACCACCAATGAATTTTTCACAGAAAAGCATTTCTCTAAAATCTATTTGACTCAATGGAATTATTGACGCCAACTTTGAATGTCGTGTTTAATTTGGTCGTCACAATAAAAACTGCTAACAATATGTAAGAAAGAAGTGTGAACCTTGTTTCTCTCCGAGGATATCATTTATTTTTGAATATTTTTTTTTCACCATGTTTTATATACTCGATAGTCTTATAGTTGTCTTCTTACCATGGGCGGGCCGGCATAGGGGCGAGAGGGGGCAATTGCCCCCCCCCCCCCCCCCAAAATTGTTTTTTGGTTTCCGTTTACACAGGCAGCCCCCAAAAAGACAGATTTTTTGTGAAGAAACC